TTCTCTTCTTCTTTAATCGTATGATTTACTGCCTTTTCCCAGTTTTCAGGCTTCACATTATTTACAGCCTCCAAAAACAACTGTTTAACATCACTCATTTTAAAAGAATTATTTTTTCTTGAAACTTCTCCCTTTATCTGTGCCCATATCAGCTCGATCGGGTTTACTTCGCAATGATATGGTGGTGATCTAACCACCGTCAGCTTACGATTTTTTGCAATTTCATCAATTTCATATTTTTTTAATTTCTCTTTATGAAGGGAACACAAATGATACAGTTCTTTTCTCACAGAACCGGGATGGAACTTAATATTCTTTGAATTTAGCCAATTCTGTAAATCTTTTTTTAACCACTTGGTTGTGGGCATTTTTTCTATAAGTCTCGAGTGATAACTTGCATTATCCATTACTATTATACAGTTCTGAGGAAGAAGATCTATAATTTGTTCGAACCACTCTTTAAAGACATCAGCATTCATGTCCTCATGGTAGTCACCGGTACGAGTAGATTCAAATGTCAATAAACCACCTTTAACAAAACCGTTTGAACTACCGATGTGTACTATTATTAGTCTGCGCCCCTTTCCTGATGGTGGATTTAAACCAGTAGATAAATTATTTAAAAAAGCCTGTCTTCGACTTGTAACAGTTTCATCTTGCCAAAATTTATTTGGTTTATGTCCCTCGTTGATCCATGTTTCATCTAAATAAAATATATTTCTTCTTTGGTTTCTCATTTCTTTTATAATCCTTAGGTAATTTCTTCTCCATACTATAATATCGCTTCTTTCTATTAAAATAGACTTTCTGGAATGCTTTTTCCATAGAAAACCTATTTCTTTTAAAAGTTTCCATAGTGTGCTTCGACTCATTTCAGGGTAATCCTTATCATCTCGAACCGTGGCAAGAACTTTGTCTACTGTCGGAAATTCTTTTCTAAAGAAGAACGCATGTACTTTCCTTCGAAGTCTTTCTTTCAAAAGATTTTCTAATTGAAATTTTGGTTTTCCTGGAGCTTTATGTGATGTTTGAACCTCGCCACATTTCTCTTCTTTAACAACTCTGTAAATCGTAGATTTCCCAACACTAAGCGTACTACTAACTAATTCCACTGTGTCATCAATACTTTTACATAAATGTTTGTCTGTAAATGATTTAAAACAATTAAATATTAATGTTTCTTCATTAATTGTTAAAGGACCGATTTTTTGTCGTTTACGTGGCCCTTCCAAATTTTCCATGATCACACTAGAATTCACACTTCACCCTGCAAGTTGCAACTAAACGACATTTAGTAAACTCAAGAATACACAACTTGGACCTCCTTACTAAATGGAAAACCTATAATCGCATTTTCGGTGAAATTTGTTGGGAAGGTATTTATCTACTTATAATTCGATTACTGTAAGAAATTCTTGGAATTAAAATAATTACAAAATTGGCAAATAGGTACTTATTGAAAATAATCTTAAGATACAGCTATGTAATCTTTAATACACAGGGCTTTTGGCCTGTCCAAACCTTTTTCTATTGTTCTGTACAGCATATGTTTATAAAGGACCAATAAAAGACCCAAAACTTGTAATAGCTCAGGTACATTTATTACAATTTTAGGAAATATTTAGATTATTCTGTAAAAATATTTAAAATGACCGTACTAAGTTTTGCATTAGGAATGCTGTTTTATTACTCTCTCATACATAAAAATAGACTATAACAATGACCGAGGTTCAAGTTTAAACTCAGATTTCTTTTTAACTGCCTAAGGTACAACCCGTCCTAAGACAATAAAAACTTACCCATACACCCCACAAAAATAAACGCATTACTGGCTTACATTTTTTAATATTTGCCGTATTTTTTACTTCCTCAAAACACCTCGTATAATTTTCGAGTAATACTTCGTTAAAATTAAAAAGATGAAGTTTTTCTGATAATATCAAGTTTTTATGACAAAAGAATTTTATTTACGTTAATTAGTAAAATACATTCTTACTCAGTGATTTAGTTTATCTGCTTATTATTGATTGCGAAAAGTGTTTTACTCTCTATAGTTTTCACACCACTGGCACTATTTCTGACAGCCGTGTAAAATTTAGGAAAAAGGTGTTCCTTAACCGTACCTCCTTATCCTACTTCACTGAAAACACGAATTAACTGGTTGTTTTACAGTTAAATGTCCTTTATGTTGTCAATAAAACAAGTTAAATATACTTGGTTCAATAATATTAACTAATAAAAAGTTAATGCCAATAAAAACTACTTAAATTATAACCCTCTGTATCTCTGCTAATATCAAATATTGGAGCAATAGGTTTTTGGGATTAATTCGGAATCCTAATTTTTGTGTCTTAGATGACACATTTAATTTCAACGTTTCAATCCTCTTAATAATTTTTTTGTAAAAGCAAAATTTCCAAAAAGCTTCTTTAACGTTTAATTTATTGGTTCGGCTTATCAATTGTTATTAAAATAGTACAACATAAAGATACGACAATACAACCAACTAACAATATCAAAACAAAATATTTAATATTCGTGACCCTGATAAGAATTTTATCTTCCCTCTAGCAAAACTTTCGAGATCCGATTCATATTACAATGTTCGTTTTAATGACGTGTTTAAGGCATTTTTTTAAAAAACAAATTTTATATTTTTCAAAACGTAAAAATAAAAATATTAAAATATTTTACCTTTATTTTCTGAATATTCCTCACACTTTTTAAAATGTTATATTAATGATTTTTTTAAATTTTTTATCAATACACAAAATCAAATTTTTGACGCCCTGTATAATGTATAAAGTTTGTCTTATGGACATTTTTGTACCTATAAAAAGCTATTTTTCTGAACTTCATACAGTATTTTAAGTATTCAACATTAACGCCGGAAGAACAGTATAGTATAAGCCATGCTATTGATTAGAGAGAGATAGAACAGTACGCGCCATCCCACTAGCGGTAGAAGTGTTTCAATCACAGCATTCTACCTTTATTTCTATCGGGTACAAATATAACTAAGCGTCTCATCTTTATTTTGAAGGATCTATACGTTAATATATTGTATAGGTATACTAATTCCAACAACATATTTAAAATATATTCAGTTTGACATTACTGGCTGGGTATTATTATTACTATTATTAGCTGACTCGATCCCGCTTCGCTGAAGTTTCTCAAATCTCAATTATTAAAACTCAAGAGAAATTTTTTCATGCAATACCTAATTTTATTTTTATTTATTTTTATAAATTTTTATTAATTTTTATTAATTTTTATTAATTTTTATTAATTTTTATTAATTTTTTTTAATTTTTTTTAATTTTTATTAATTTTTATTAATTTTTAATAATTTTTAATAATTTTTATTATATTTTGTTATTTTTTATTAATTTTTAATAATTTTTATATATATTTTTATTTTTTATTAATTTTTATTAAATTTTGTTAATTTTTATTAATTTTTATTACTTTTATTATTTTTTAAATTTTATTATTTTAATTTTTTATTATTTTTTAATAGTTGTTATGTCATCGATGGTACGTAATATTTTAGTTTATGTGAGTTTGGCAATCCTATAAATATTGTTGTAATTGAAATAAATAAAATAATTTTTGAACTGTCACAAAGTCATTTTGAATAAAAACCACGTATTCTCTTATATATAGTCCATTGTAATGTTCGTACAATATTTTTTTTATTTTAATAATTTTTATTAATCCTTTATTTTTTATATTTATATTAATTTTTTTAATTTTTATTTATTATTTAGTTTTACGATACTCCCTATTTCTCCCCTAATTAAAATTTAAAAATAAAAAACCTTGAAATATGTCATTATTTATTAATAGTGGGTAGCTACAATTCCAATTTTCAAGTTCCTATACCTTTAAAAAAAGCGATACCTTCTCCTTTCCCCCCTTTCCTCTATTTCTCCACTTTTTCCGCTTTCTTCTCTTTCTCTCCTTTTCCCATTTTCCCCTTAAACTATGAAAATCCAAAATCACTGAAATACGCTTTTATTTATTTGTGACGAGCAGCTATAATTCCAATTTTCAAGTTCTTGCCTTTAAAAAAAATCGATACATCCATACAAACTTTTAACCCCAGTTCCCCCCTTAAATTGTGAAAATCCAAAAACCCGGAAACACATCATTATTTATTTATGCCTAGTAGCTGTATTTCCAATTGCATGTTTCACTACCACCATACAAAAAATCATGTCTGTGAAAAACAAAAGCAAATTATCCCATGGGAACCGTATATTTTTCCGGGATAAAAAGTAGCATATGTGCTATTCCAGACTATAATCTATCTTTGTGCCAAATTTCATCCATATCCGTTCAGCCGTTCTTGCGTGATTGAGCAACAAACATCCATGCATACATCCAAACTTTCGCATTTTTATATTAGTAAGATTGGCCAAATTAAAAAAGTAGGTAGATTTGTTTAAATGTACAGCAACAGGTTGTTCAGATTGTGTTATATTTTCTAAAAAAAAACAGCGTTAAGGTTCAACCTTGAATTTTATGATTACCAACCCGTACCATCATGTCATGTGGGTCATCAATTAATAACAACTATGATGAGAATGAGTAACTTTAATGTTTTATTTTTTGTATCCACGACCAAACGGAACGGAACCCGCATAATGTTTCATTTTCACCTAATAAGGCAGATGCGAGGATATTACAAAAGACAATATATATACGGAGTTTTTCAATTGCTGTGAAATAGATATTATCTCGGATATTTTATGTGCCAGTTTAGGATATAAAGAAAAAAAAATAATGTAGCAGATAGGGCTGAAATTAATTTAGTTTATTCACAGTTAGTTAATAAAAATAATTTTCGATATCACAATGAATGTTGGTAATTTGACAAACAAAAAAAATTCTGTCATAACAGTTTAGCGAATAAACAAAAAAATAATGTAGCAGATAGGGCTCAAATTCATATAGTTTATTCACAGTGAATAAAAATAGTTTTTCATATCACAATGAATGTTGGTAATTTGATAAACAACAAACATTCTATCAAAACCATATTTACCCAGATTTCCATTATTCTTATTTCTTTAAGTTTTAATCTATATAAAAGTGCGGGATCGTTTTGGTCTCATTGTTAAGAAAAAACTACGTTTTATTTTATATTTTGCTTACTAACATCAAAAGCTTCTTCGAACATCAGATTTAATGCCAATACATTTTAAAAAACTAAAAATTAAAGATATCTAATAATAAATTTTAAAACAAATTCCAAACGTATAGCAACTAAACACCTTACAAGATATTTATCTACTATCATTTGACAGCCAAAAATTATAATACTTCCAAATGTGTTTAATAACGAATTCTTCTATAATCTGCTTGAACATTCGTAAGGTGAAATTTTGATGAATGAAACGACTAATGATCGGAGAAATCTCTAAATTATAGTATCCTACACCGACTGGGATAACAGTAAAATATGAAAAATGTGTTTGATTAAAATAATCTCTTGTATGTAAAATAATCTCTTGCTGATTATGAAATAGAAAACTATTTCGATGAGTATAAGTAATATTTATTACAGGTCGTTTCTCAATCAATTTTTAGATTAACAGTACGAACAGTTAAGTCAAGATCTCATATTGTAATTCTACATTTTTTTATCAAAAAGGGATCCCGTTAATGATTTTACAATACATAGAGCAATGTTAAAATCTTGGGGTCAAAATATGTTCAATATAGTCCCATAAATTAATTATAGTGCCTCTATTCTTTTTAGACTATCAGTAAGTAATTATATTTCTTATCTAGAATATTCATTTCTAGATTTTTTTTGCAAAATAAATAATAAATTAACTTCCCAAACAAAATAAAAATAAACGATAATAAAATATCAAAACTCAAATGTGATAGATGCAAAATGAAATAAAATGAATTTAGCTCAAAGCCAGAATATCACATAAAATACAACGACCGTTTCCCCTTCAAAAAAACAACTACTCCTTTGGCTAATACCACTACAGGCATTGAACTACATCCGAAGGAAAAACAGCAGAGATAGAAATTAATTTTCAACACTCTCTACTTTGATTTTGCTCACCAAGGAGGACATCATTCTTGGACCGGTTTCGTCCTTATTAGGACTTCTCAGCAAGAAATAGATAGGTTCTCAAGTCCAGTCTCTAATGGAATTAACAAATGCTACACATTTCACCAGTATATCATAAAGTTGGTTACGGAGAGAATAAAATTCAAGTAGCGAAAATGGTGTCGCCATCTGTTATTAGTAAGCAAAATCAAAATGCGCTATGGTACCCAGTTTGAAAACTAGGTGGAACCAAATAAACCAAGCGGGCAATTTGTAAACGATAGTAAAATATCAAAACTCAAATGTGATAGATGCAAAATGAAATAAAATGAATTTAGCTCAAAGCCAGAATATCACATAAAATACAACGATCGTTTCCCATTCAAAAAAAAACAACTACTCCTTTGGCTAATACCACAACAGGCATTGAATTATATTACATTAATTTCTATCTCTGCTGTTTTTCCTTCGGATGTAATTCAATGCCTGTTGTGGTATTAGCCAAAGGAGTAGTTGTTTTTTTGAAGGGGAAACGGTCGTTGTATTTTATGTGATATTCTGGCTTTGAGCTAAATTCATTTTATTTCAAAATAAAAATAGTTTTCATTGATTTGTACTTCACGTCGCACAATTAGATTTTACCACGTTTAGACTAGTTTAAAGGAAAAAGTTTGCATTTTTCGAAATTTAAATTTGTGGTTTCTCAAATAAGTGATTTATGTATAATATTTAATACCAAAAAATAAAACAATTTCTTTACATAGATTTTTAGATTTCTCATTAAATTATAAGTCACTATTAAAAAACTGATTTAAAAAAAAATGTTTACTCCCTGTTAACTATTTGTAAACCATTAAGAACAACCTGACTCATTTTTCAGTAGCACTTAAAATAGTTCAAATTATTGTTATTGTTATTTTTGAATCGTGCATATCCCAGGTATCGCAAAATACTTGAAATATGAGTACGTGCCTATAGTTCTTGCACCAGTATTACTGCAAAAGTTGTATAAGTTTTTTTATGAGTTTATAATTTAACTAAAATAAACCTACTAAATCTAAAAAGTAAGAGTGGTAGATTGACATTTGTACTGTGATTAAAGTTTTACATAAAAATCAGGAGCTGCTTTTTAAATAGAATAATATGTCTTTCATTCAAGTCAGAGTTAGTACAATAAAATTTCAGCATTCAAGTAGGCGTAGAACGGGATTTAGTTAAACTGGCCATGAGTATAATACGAGCAAAATTATTTTCGTTTGAAGACCTTTTCTACATTATTTTAGTTGTACCAACTTTTCCATTAAATGCTTTATTTTATCAAATTATTGTTAAGGTATTACACCCTGTAATACTTATAAAATTTATCTAGTAGTTAATACAAGTCACGTTCTATCTATGGTAATACATGAAAATGCACCTTATTTTCAGTAACTGTTATTCCTATTTTTTTTTTAACACTGTATGTATGATTTATTTTGCAAAGTACGCATGAACTAACTGTATTATAAGTATAATACATGGTATAAGTTTCATAGAAAATCATGAATTATTTAACAGCTCACCCTGTAGAGCCTCAAATTCGGGGTCAATAAGAAATGTGCCTTTAATGGCCTGAAAAATTACATTACTTAAATTTAAACAAATTCTAACAGTACCCAAGATCAATATAAATATTTAAGAGGAATAAGAAGACACTTTACTTTTCTGTATTCATACAATTTAAACTTACCTTAATTTAATTAAATAAAACTTTAATAAACCAAACAAAAAAGTCACGCGATGCTCCTTATGCGGACGTTCGTGTCAAATGCAAATAACGACGGCTTATAAAACACTTGACGATCGTATTTTTATTCTCCCTATAATATGCGTCCTCACATTCACGGTTGGTTGTGTTTGTCTAACACACTTCGGATGATAATCAAAACAAAAAAATCATTATCGTTGGACAAATATTTTTCTACTATACGAGATATGAATAGCTTGGTCACCGTTTCAGGCTTAAGAGGGTCCAGACTGAAACATTTGTTAAAAATGTTAATAATGGAATAAATAAATCGTTTTATTAATAAAATTAGAGATACTAAAACAAATTCTGTATCTGTAACGGGTGGAAGGTGACTTGTCCCACGGTTCACTAGGCCCACTGAGCATTCTCCTAAATTGATAGTTTCCTCTTAACGGATTCTGCCAGCTTCATAACTATGAAGATGCTTCCTTACTTAGCAATGACCAGTCAGAATATCTGCTATCTGGTACAGATTCTGTCGAATCATAGTAAATAATTTAAAGAATTTAAAGAATTTAAAGAATTTAAAGAATTTAAAGAATTTAAAGAATTTAAAGAATTTAAAGAATTTAAAGAATTTAAAGAATTTAAAGAATTTAAAGAATTTAAAGAATTTAAAGAATTTAAAGAATTTAAAGAATTTAAAGAATTTAAAGAATTTAAAGAATTTAAAGAATTTAAAGAATTTAAAGAATTTAAAGAATTTAAAGAATTTAAAGAATTTAAAGAATTTAAAGAATTTAAAGAATTTAAAGAATTTAAAGAATTTAAAGAATTTAAAGAATTTAAAGAATTTAAAGAATTTAAAGAATTTAAAGAATTTAAAGAATTTAAAGAATTTAAAGAATTTAAAGAATTTAAAGAATTTAAAGAATTTAAAGAATTTAAAGAATTTAAAGAATTTAAAGAATTTAAAGAATTTAAAGAATTTAAAGAATTTAAAGAATTTAAAGAATTTAAAGAATTTAAAGAATTTAAAGAATTTAAAGAATTTAAAGAATTTAAAGAATTTAAAGAATTTAAAGAATTTAAAGAATTTAAAGAATTTAAAGAATTTAAAGAATTTAAAGAATTTAAAGAATTTAAAGAATTTAAAGAATTTAAAGAATTTAAAGAATTTAAAGAATTTAAAGAATTTAAAGAATTTAAAGAATTTAAAGAATTTAAAGAATTTAAAGAATTTAAAGAATTTAAAGAATTTAAAGAATTTAAAGAATTTAAAGAATTTAAAGAATTTAAAGAATTTAAAGAATTTAAAGAATTTAAAGAATTTAAAGAATTTAAAGAATTTAAAGAATTTAAAGAATTTAAAGAATTTAAAGAATTTAAAGAATTTAAAGAATTTAAAGAATTTAAAGAATTTAAAGAATTTAAAGAATTTAAAGAATTTAAAGAATTTAAAGAATTTAAAGAATTTAAAGAATTTAAAGAATTTAAAGAATTTAAAGAATTTAAAGAATTTAAAGAATTTAAAGAATTTAAAGAATTTAAAGAATTTAAAGAATTTAAAGAATTTAAAGAATTTAAAGAATTTAAAGAATTTAAAGAATTTAAAGAATTTAAAGAATTTAAAGAATTTAAAGAATTTAAAGAATTTAAAGAATTTAAAGAATTTAAAGAATTTAAAGAATTTAAAGAATTTAAAGAATTTAAAGAATTTAAAGAATTTAAAGAATTTAAAGAATTTAAAGAATTTAAAGAATTTAAAGAATTTAAAGAATTTAAAGAATTTAAAGAATTTAAAGAATTTAAAGAATTTAAAGAATTTAAAGAATTTAAAGAATTTAAAGAATTTAAAGAATTTAAAGAATTTAAAGAATTTAAAGAATTTAAAGAATTTAAAGAATTTAAAGAATTTAAAGAATTTAAAGAATTTAAAGAATTTAAAGAATTTAAAGAATTTAAAGAATTTAAAGAATTTAAAGAATTTAAAGAATTTAAAGAATTTAAAGAATTTAAAGAATTTAAAGAATTTAAAGAATTTAAAGAATTTAAAGAATTTAAAGAATTTAAAGAATTTAAAGAATTTAAAGAATTTAAAGAATTTAAAGAATTTAAAGAATTTAAAGAATTTAAAGAATTTAAAGAATTTAAAGAATTTAAAGAATTTAAAGAATTTAAAGAATTTAAAGAATTTAAAGAATTTAAAGAATTTAAAGAATTTAAAGAATTTAAAGAATTTAAAGAATTTAAAGAATTTAAAGAATTTAAAGAATTTAAAGAATTTAAAGAATTTAAAGAATTTAAAGAATTTAAAGAATTTAAAGAATTTAAAGAATTTAAAGAATTTAAAGAATTTAAAGAATTTAAAGAATTTAAAGAATTTAAAGAATTTAAAGAATTTAAAGAATTTAAAGAATTTAAAGAATTTAAAGAATTTAAAGAATTTAAAGAATTTAAAGAATTTAAAGAATTTAAAGAATTTAAAGAATTTAAAGAATTTAAAGAATTTAAAGAATTTAAAGAATTTAAAGAATTTAAAGAATTTAAAGAATTTAAAGAATTTAAAGAATTTAAAGAATTTAAAGAATTTAAAGAATTTAAAGAATTTAAAGAATTTAAAGAATTTAAAGAATTTAAAGAATTTAAAGAATTTAAAGAATTTAAAGAATTTAAAGAATTTAAAGAATTTAAAGAATTTAAAGAATTTAAAGAATTTAAAGAATTTAAAGAATTTAAAGAATTTAAAGAATTTAAAGAATTTAAAGAATTTAAAGAATTTAAAGAATTTAAAGAATTTAAAGAATTTAAAGAATTTAAAGAATTTAAAGAATTTAAAGAATTTAAAGAATTTAAAGAATTTAAAGAATTTAAAGAATTTAAAGAATTTAAAGAATTTAAAGAATTTAAAGAATTTAAAGAATTTAAAGAATTTAAAGAATTTAAAGAATTTAAAGAATTTAAAGAATTTAAAGAATTTAAAGAATTTAAAGAATTTAAAGAATTTAAAGAATTTAAAGAATTTAAAGAATTTAAAGAATTTAAAGAATTTAAAGAATTTAAAGAATTTAAAGAATTTAAAGAATTTAAAGAATTTAAAGAATTTAAAGAATTTAAAGAATTTAAAGAATTTAAAGAATTTAAAGAATTTAAAGAATTTAAAGAATTTAAAGAATTTAAAGAATTTAAAGAATTTAAAGAATTTAAAGAATTTAAAGAATTTAAAGAATTTAAAGAATTTAAAGAATTTAAAGAATTTAAAGAATTTAAAGAATTTAAAGAATTTAAAGAATTTAAAGAATTTAAAGAATTTAAAGAATTTAAAGAATTTAAAGAATTTAAAGAATTTAAAGAATTTAAAGAATTTAAAGAATTTAAAGAATTTAAAGAATTTAAAGAATTTAAAGAATTTAAAGAATTTAAAGAATTTAAAGAATTTAAAGAATTTAAAGAATTTAAAGAATTTAAAGAATTTAAAGAATTTAAAGAATTTAAAGAATTTAAAGAATTTAAAGAATTTAAAGAATTTAAAGAATTTAAAGAATTTAAAGAATTTAAAGAATTTAAAGAATTTAAAGAATTTAAAGAATTTAAAGAATTTAAAGAATTTAAAGAATTTAAAGAATTTAAAGAATTTAAAGAATTTAAAGAATTTAAAGAATTTAAAGAATTTAAAGAATTTAAAGAATTTAAAGAATTTAAAAATGTAGCAATGTCTTTTCGCACTGCTCCAAATTTATTAATGCCAATTCTTTGAAAGCAATATTTTCACTTTGAAATTTAAAGAATAAGATCGTTTGTGATGCCTACATATCGATAAGACGAAAATATTTCTTAACTACAGTATAAAAATTTCCATAACACTGAATTTTCTGGCAATTTTTGTTTTTGTGTTTGATACACTGACCATAAAAATGGGTCCATGATCTTCTAAATCTGTAAATTGCATATAGTGCAATTCTGCTGCACCCATAATGCCCATTATTAAAGCAACCTAAAATAATTAGATACCGAATTATCCTAGGAGTCGAGCGTGAGTTTTAATAACTCATTGTTATAACTCACGCTGTTTGTTAATGGGTACTATTAATTGCACAAAAGCAGTTAAATAATTAATATATAATTTAATAGGAGTAGATAGAAATATTTAAAAAATAAAAGAATCTAAATCCTTCTTCCTATAGGTGGTAATTAAAAACATAAGTGGTATTTTTTTTTTAGGTTTAAATTATGAAATGAAAAGTTTAATATATAATATTGGATGAGTAGAAATGCAGTTACAACGTATTTAAAATGATTAAAATTTAATTACCATGAGCGTGAGAAGTCTTTTGATTAATAAAGGAAAGCTTATGTTCGAGTGTTGATCAATATCATAGAAGGCAAATGACTAGGTTGTTCGTTGATGGAATGGAAAAATATGTAAATATTGGTAAACTGTTGATAAGTCATACCAGCAAGCTTGCATTGGAATAATATGAAATATAGCTAATAAAAAGATAAAAGAAGAGTGTTTTGCACTTGTTTGGTTTGAGGCTAAGGAATCCAAGTAGTGGTAAAAAAGTAAATCTAAAATATATAACAACCCACAACATGTTAATGCTCCTGACAATCGTTTATTTTTCTAATGTTTTTTGGTTGTCTCATACTTTTTGACAAATAACTAATAAAATGTACACACTTGCAAGTACCATTCTTTCATTTCTTTTCTTTTCTGAATCCAAAATTGGTATTTATTAAAATGTTCCTCAATTTTCATTAATGGCACTAAAGCCGTTTTTGTTTTCGAACTAATTGAATGTAAGTATTGCAATTAATTACCACATTCCACACTGCTACTTATTTTAAGCCCGATTTGAGGAAGCGGAAGGACACCGCGCGTCCAGGGCCTGCATCAACAACAGGAAACCATTATACGAGCTGCATCCAGAATAATAAAAAATTATGAGAAAAATTGCGGCGCATCCTGTCGGTAGTGTAAACGGTCTGCTGTGAGGCCGGTGAGAAAGGGCTTAATTGCCCGCATTTATAGATGTCTGACCGGTCCGAGTCGAGAGAGAGATCTGCTGCAGACTGCAGTGTGCTGTGCAATTTACGAAACGCACTTAAACAACAGCGAATCGACGCTGCTGGTTCGTGGTTCGTTCCCGCCGTCAGCCGACTAAATCAAGATGGCCTTGGCTCCATACCAGTCGATGCAGTTATATACATACATATTATATATTATACACTTACATAGAGAATAGTCTGTAGGCCAGAAGGCTACTAATTGAAACGTTGATTGAATTATACCCAGTTGGTTACTAGTTAGATACATTGGAATATTTACTATCTAGGTGGAGATAGTTTTACGTTCCTAGTATTTCTCATGTACAGAATGTTATTTCACTGAAAAGAACCATAGTCCTAGCTTGTTTTTCGTCCTTTCAGTCATCTCTCTGTTCCCCTCAATCTGGATTGGGTTCAAGACTGGTTATTCACCTCTGGGGTTTGCATGGCGACACTTCAGCCTTATGCTTTTATTGTGAACCTATTTATATGCCCTACTAATAGAAGGAAATTAAGGGTATCAGCTCACTTTGATAACAATCCCCTAAAAGCATTCCATCGAGTTCTATTGTTAGACGGTTGGAGGGAAATGTTGAAGAAGCCTCTGGAGACTAATCACCTCTGGTTTTCTCTTTTATCTTCGACTCCTTCAACATCTGCGTTCTCATTCTGGGCTTAGTCTCCAGAAGCTTCTTCAACATCTCTTTCCAACCGTCGAACAAGAGCACCCAATGTGACCTTCTAGATCTAGATGGGCCACAAGCTCTACGAGTTCGGTCACGCAACGAGACCGGGTCTGAGCTGTGATCGGTGTTTTCATTTGATTGCTTTTTTTGGTACAAAAGTCTCCTAACCCAATTATTTGCTTGCTTCTTACAAGCAAAAAACTTGTCAATAATAGAAATCTGAGTCAGAGATATCCGTGAAGACACGCTTCTGAATGAAATCCAAGTTTGTAACGTTTAGATTTGACCTTATAGCGGTTTTTCATTAAAATATGGATGCGTTTGTTTTGTCCAGCAGTTTCCGTACTCAGTATTTCTAAACGGGTCCTTCTATACACGCATTTAAACCACTGTGTTTATCTAATTTGGTGGACCGACAGGCATCGGCTGATTTCTGTCAACTGACTGTCTAAGGCGTTTCTTCGCGAGCTTTTTTCCATAGATGTAGGGGTTTTTCTGCGACTCTCTGGGCGAGTAGTTGGCTGCCCTGTGTTCAAGATGTCTAGCGTTTCCGCCACGACGGTAATTGTGGGTATATGTTCAGTTTGGGGTAGGTAGGACCTCTATTTGAGTTTAGTTGGGCTATTTATTTCGTTTTAGAGGTTTGTTTGGTTATTTTAGCCCTTTCTGTCAAGAATATATTTCGTAATAGTGGGCGCTATTTGCCACTAAGGTATGTTGGTATTATTGGTTTTTGGGAAGTGACGTCGCTTCTTCCTTCTTTAATTTGAGAATTCGTTCTGCACCAGGGTTAGTAAAGGTAGTTTGAAAAGTTTAATGGAATTCGTTTCCATCCATAATTGGGATTAGGTTATTTTGGAATGTTAAGGTTTACACATTGGATGATTTAGTAGTTTGTTGTTTCCAGGAGCCATCTCGTATGAGGATTTTTTGTGCAAACTAAACTCGATTTTGACCTTGTCATTGGATAGTGGTTGTAGGGGTTGTTCTATCGAGGCGAATACATATCTACCCACCTAGACATGTAACTGTGGTTGTTGTTAGGTTAGTGTTAGATCCCGAGGGTGACCCATAGTCTGGTTGGTGCCCTGTGGACCGGACGTGACCCATAGTCTGGTTGGTGCCCTGTGGACCGGACGGACAGAATAGGTTCACCCGAGCATCCCCCATCGGGGTGGTAAGATCCCACCAAATGGCAACTGCCTGTCTTTGTCACCAGATCGGCCTGGAAATGGAAGCCAGCGTACTTAAATAATCGAGGTAAGTGCGCCGATAGGGATGACTCGATCGGGAAGTTAAAGGTTTTGTTAGATTTTGTTTTAGAGTATGCTAAGGGCGATAAGCGTCCCTATTTGACAGTCGAACTTTTAGGAAAACCTTTATTAGGGCTATTAGATTCTGGAGCCTCGCGTACAATTTTAGGTAGTAAGGGATATAGGGTTTTATTAGATTTAGGTATTTTGGTAAAGAAAAATGTTGATTTGCATTGTACAGTGGCTAATGGTGTTAAGTGTCAGGCTTTAGGAACTGTGAATTTGCCTTTTGTCCTTAGAATGTAAAGTTAGTTTAGTTAGTTGTCTTGTTGTTCCCAAGTTACCTCATTTCGATAAGCCAGGTAAAATTGATAGGCTTTGCCAGCAAACAAATCGATGCCAGATTCAAGTAGAGTTTCGACGTGTCGCGCTACCCTCAGCTACTCAACTCTTTCTAATAATGTGCCTAACGACATTCCTTTCTTATCGCCAGAAAACGAGATGTTCCACTTGTTAGGCAGTCATCTGCGCAGCTGCTGTAGGTGGTATTGTCATCCTAGAACTAGATGCTGTTGGACTTGAGGCAGCTTTGACTGGTCCAAAACTAGGCTGCTGTTGGTGCACCATAAAATTTAAGTAAGGTGGTTCCCTCATCGCAATATCGTGCTGCTCCGCGTTTGCATATAAATCGCCCAACATAGCCAAAGTGGTGGCCCAAGTGGTGGTGTAAGCGTCGATTTTTCCATACGCGCAATCCTACCCAAAATATGCCCTAACCTAGACCCTATTTTCAAATATATACTGCTACCTGATGAGTCCCTAAAACCGTCAACTAATTTTCCAAGTTGTCAATTAAAGAACTGTAGAGAAACATTTTGTGACCATGCTTTAGCTTCAAGATCATGTTTTTGCAGGATTTCTTTCTGTATAAAATTCAAAGTGGTAGTAAATGGTAGAGATTCTATTATCTTGACTCTTTTTCTCTTAAAATCCTTGGAGGTGATGGCATATAGTCGCTAATTTAATAGTATAAAGTAGAGACATTTGGCCATTAGATCTCTTGAGGTCCTTATTACTAGTACATTCTTCTTATTCAATTTCTTTCTTTAATCGTTTCTAGTAAACAATTTTTCTTTCCACTCCTCTATTCAAAGGCAATCGGGCAATGGGGCATCAAAGGCCTCAATAAACATGTGATTAACTTTGGTTTGCTAGAAAATGCTGAATGCAGACTGTCAAAAATATGAAGAAACCCTAATTAACAAGCTATTCTCTACCTGTGTGACAGTATGGATAAAATGTGATATCTGCTTACAGAAAACGAGACAGCCTAATGAAGCTTTCAAAAATTATAGCTCTAAATAAATTGGTAGATGTTGCTGGAGGTAGATTAGATTCTGCAGAAGTTGGACATGTTACTGTTTTCCACTGTTACCTATTCATATCAATTGTGGGACTCGGTTATAGTATGTTGTCTCGATTGGTCTTTTTGACGTTGACGTTGACAGTGGCCTCTGCATGTTGTTACATGCTTTTGGCTGTTCTTCGCACACTATACCTCAATTTAGCCAGGACGTCAAACTGTATTCTTTACAGAACCTGCACATTTTTACTTCATCTGCTAGATCAATAACATTTATGTACCTTCTAAAGTGACAGTATTCGGTAAGAATACCTGTTGTTATCCTGTTGTTGTTTTTAAACCAAAAATTGACAGACGCTTCCTCAATGAGCTCTTTGACTTATCTCAATCCTGGATAATTATTTCACAATTCCTAAGACGCTATTTGCATCAATTGTTTGATCCATGCCTAGCTCACTGCGTTAGCAACTCCACAAAAAGGTTCGGTGCTTGTCATGGCCTTATTAAAGCCTTTTTTGGGGTAGTTCGATGGTTTTTTTATTGTCCTGGTACCGATTCCTTGTACCAAGGATAAAGTCACTTATTGCTAAAGATACACAAGGTGACAATGGGTTAAGCGAATGCTTGCCTCTAAGTCTGTTATATCTTTAAATTGATTAGACTTATATGACAAATCTAGCCTGTTTAGATTATAATCTATTTCCGTTTGATGGACCATGTAATGTTCATGAAATGAAACAGTAATAGATGGTCTGTAGTATCTAATGGCTTTGTTTCTAAAAAATACTAAATTATTAAAATTGAATATTTTTTTATA